ACACCCGTATTAGAAAGACCTTGAATCAATGGAGCTACAGCTCTTATCTTAAGAGTGAAGAAAGAAGAGCAGAATGAAACTTGAGCAAGGAGAAGAAATAATAAAGGTCTGTCAGAAAGAACAGAAGAGCACATGGGGGTAAGAAAATCAATACAAAAAAAGCTGGCTCCTAGGAAAAAATCAATAAAGAGATAAAAACCAGTCCAATTAATGAGAAAGATAGAAATTACCAGTATCAGAAATAAGATAATATCACTACTGATTCTAGACATATTAATAGATAACGAATTAGTCAATGACACAGATAAAATCAACGAATCTCTTGAAAGAGATAAGTACTTATCCAAGAAGAAACAGATAAACTAAGTACACTTACATTACATTTTTTACTTTAAAACTTCCTAACTCAAAATGCCAAGCCCAAATTGCTTCACTGATGAATTATACTGAGTATTTTAGAAAAGGTACTACCAACTTTATGTCAATCCTTCCAAAAAATTCAAGAAGGGCAAATTCTTCTCTTACTGTAAGGCTAATATAACACCTTAAAAACAAAACCAAAGATATTATGAGAAAACTTGAGTCCAATATTTCTCGTGAAAATACATGCAAAAATTCTTAATAAAATTTTAGCTCATCAAATCTAACGCATAAAAACCAAACCAACGGAAGTTTATCCTAAGTGTGCAAAGTTAAAATTTGAAAATCAAACAATGCAATTCAGTAACTAAAAATGGAAACCCATAACCACCAATAAGTAAGGGAAAAAGTCATTTTATAAAATTCATTTCTTTTCTTTTTCTTTCCTTTTGGGGGGGAGGGCCTCAGGCACTGGGAATTTAGCTCAGTTGCAAAGTGCCTGCCTGGTAAGTGCAGGTCCTGAGTTCGATCTCTGGTATGAAAGAAATAAAGAAGGAAGGAAGGAAAGAAAGAAAGAAAGAGAAAAAGACAGAGAGAGAAAGAAACAAAGAAAGAAACAAAGAAAAGAGAAAGAGAGAGAGAATTCACAAATTCTAAAATTCACATAGAAATACAAAGGATCTACAGTGCTGAAACAACTCTGACAAAGGGAAAACAAAGCTGGAAAATTAACACTACCTGGCTTCAACACTTATTACAGAACTACAGTAAGAAGATAATGCAATAAGGATACTCTTGAAAACACATTACACATCTATTTGACACTACAAATAGGAGATAAGTGATTATCTAGTGATGGCATGCAGTGAGTGTTAAGCAAGATGGCCATTTCACTATTTTGGTTCTGCTAATGGCTTCAATGGCTCAATATATAGTCAAAACACATCAAATTGTACACTTTTAACATACAATTTATTGTATGTAAATCAAGTATAAACAAAACTGTTTAAAGTATAAAAAAGGAAAGGGAAAAGTAATGCATTGGAGGAAATTATACTTTAGAGATCTGAACAAGTAAGGTCGGAAGGATTGTGGGTACAGAAGAAGAATTTCAGGCAGAAGAGGGTTCAGCAACCACAAAGGTTCTGAGGTAAAATTTGTTTGGTGTTTACAAGGAAGAACATATAACCCAGTGTGATCAAAGCAGAGCTGATGCAGGCAGCAAGTGGCTGGAACATTAATCTTAGAGGCTGGTGGCGCAGGAGGAGGTGGGAACAAGCCAGCTATATCCCTGCAGGCTGTTACAATACAGAGCTTTTAGGGCCTTAGTGGTAGAGCTCTTGCCTTCCATGCATAAAGCCCTGGGAGTGATCCCCAGCACTACAAAAAAAAAAAAAAAAAAAAAAAAAAACAAAGATAGGGCTTTTACTCTAGAGACTGAAGTCACCACAAGGTTTTGAGCAAAGAGATGGCATAATCTGGTTACTTCAACTACTGCTGGTACGAATGGATTTAATTATTTTTATTAGTCTTTTTACTATGAAATTAATAAAAAGTTGTGTGAAAAGACTGAAATTCCTAGGAACTTTTGGGACTAGAATAATTACGGTGAAAAAAAGAAGGAAATTATGAATGTAAGAAGTCTACCAAGTACTAGGCATTGCTATAGTAACACTAAAAATTCTTCAAAGGCTCCACACCGTGGCAGTAAGTCCCCAGATTTGGCTTGCAAGAGCCTTCCAAATCTAACCCAGTCTCTCTCTAACGTCTGGCCTCTCTGTCCACTTGGGTCTGCTTTACTGAACCTCAGACCTCAACATTTGCCCTTTCTTGAATAGGTACCCTTCTTTTCCACCTGGCTTCTCACCTGGCTAATACCTACCCATCCATTGGGTTAGTGTAGTATCTTACACATACTTATGTCTCAAAAGGGGGATCTGGGATTTAGCTCAGTGGCATAAGCACCTGCCTGGCAAGCGCAAGGTTGTGAATTTGAACCCTGGTACCACCAAAAAAATAAAAATAAAAATAAACCCACCTGATAGACAAAAGGAACGACAATAAGAGAACTTATCTGAGTTTAAAGCTCCTTCTACATAAACCTTTACTTTCTTCAGCCAAGTGCTTACTGCACTGTATCACACTGTATCACACAAAGGCTGTGTCTCTGGGATGTTCCCAGTTTGGCACAGTCTAGAGCACGTTGGTCACTGAATGGTTTCAAGTTAAGGAGACTTAGAAATATACTGACTCAAAAAGAAAAAGGATCAGGTTAGTCCATGACATACTGAAGCTGAATGGCAAATCATGTAAAGAGAAATGTTCTATATGAGATGGAAAAAAGAAAATTGAGTTGAGAAGGGCAGGCTAAAGAAAAGCATATGGCAGGATGACTTAAAAACTAAAAAAAAAGCAAAAAACAAAAACCCCTACAGGATCAAGGATTGCTATTTGGGTAAAAGAAAGAAATCACAAGAAAATATATAAAATTGGTATGGTGTAGATGCAGTGTGTTGCCTGAAGTTTCACAGGCTGGTAATCTGGGGACAATGTTGAGTGGTAAATCCTTTAGGACATGGGGGCCTGATGCACAGTAATGAAGTCATGGGGGCACCGCTATCGGAAGGAGTTAAAGCAGGTCTTACAGAACCAAGTTAGTCCCTTAAAAGGGAGCCTAGAACTTCCCATGAATAATCCCTCTTCCACATGTGACTGCATCCATGTCACTGTGGTGTTGCCATCATGAGGCCCTCACCAGAGCCAAACAGATTCTGGCATCACACTGCTTAACCCCTAAAACTGTGAGTTAACAAACCTCTTCTTTATAAAGTATTTAGCCTCAGGTATTCTGGTATAGCAACACAAAATTAACTAAGGTAAGAATGAACATTGTAAATGCTAGAGAAACAGAACAGCACAGTCCTGTGAAGCTAAAGAAGACTCAAGAATGAAAAAGGAGCATGCTGTCAAATGCCATAGTCTCTTTACTATGAAATTAATAAAAAGACAGCTGCTCTACAACCATAGAGATCATGTCTCTGCCACTTGTTTAGGACCTAATGCAGTACCCAGCACATGTGAAAAATTAACAAGTACCTTGTTAAGTGGAACCTTGACTTATAAACTCAATTTGTTCCCAAAGGCTGGTTCTAACTCAAGTTGTCAACTGAAGGCTCAGGTTCTTCTACATAGCCTTCAGTCTCTCCTGTACACAGGCAGATCTCAGTGTTCTTAGAGAGACACAGACCCAGGATTTCTCAATTACACATACAGGAAAGGATGTTGTAATGTTCCTTCCAGATCCAGGATTTCTCAATTACACATACACATACACATACAGGAAAGGATGTTGTAATGTTCCTTCCAGTACTCTTTAAATCTGTATTTGAAACCATCTGGAGGCACAAGCAGTTAGTATTCAGGTGTAATTCAAGACTTTGGTCTCAAGAATTATATCACTCTTTGAAAGTTAGCATGTAGATTAGAATGAGCCTACATTTTACCTGTTCAGAAACACTGCCCTCAGATACTCATTAGCCAAGGTTAACTTTACTTCTAAAACTTCTGCCTGGTCTTTTGAAGAAGACCAGGAGTGGCCTGAGAAAAGGTTGAGAAAAGAACTGTCCATATCTCACATTCCAGCTGACGTTGCTTTTTTTGATATTCCTCAAATTACATTTTTTTTTTAGATTCCTCAAATTACTTATCTCCATCAGCCAGGCCCTAATTCACAAATTTAAGTTAGATCCAATGTTCAAAAATAATCTATTTTAGTAGGATAACTGGTGAACAGACCAAAATATCCTCCCTGGCAACTGATTGAACAAACCCTAGCTCCATCTAAGGGAATCATCATAATAACTCATCTCCATAACAAATCATTTTCATTGTAAGTCAAGTCGGTTGAGGATATTTTAAAACAAAGACGATGGCACAGATTGTAAATCTGAGGAGTTTAGTTTAAAAAAAAGAAGGCACTTGGGGCTGGGGATTTCGCTCAGAGGCATAAGCACCTGCCTGGCAAGCACAAGGTCCTAAGTTCGATCCCTGGTACAAAAAAAAACGGCACCTAAGTGAATATGGAGTTCAAGGAATATAGTTACCTTAGGATGAGATTCACTTCCACACATTTGAAAGCAGAAAGAAACACAAAGAGAAGAAATAATACTTGAAGTAGTGAATATGTGTATAAGAGGAGGCAAAAGAGGATGGAAAGTCTGAAATCAAAGAGATGGGACAGTTGAGGTAAACACAACAGTGTGACTGACACGCTGAGTTCAAGTGGTAACAGATTCAAGCTAACAGAAGCACCGGCACAGATGAATTCCAAGTCTGGTGGGTTAAGGCAAAGTCTTCAGCATAACCCTAGGAGATTGGGCAAATACCTATGGAAAATATGTCTAAGAGTAGATACAGGAGAGACAAAGACTGAAAAAATGCTAGTTTCTTAGTTTAAGTCATGCTTTACATGTTAGAGCATCTATAATCAAGTGTGCTCTTGGAGAAACTTAAAAATATAGCATACTTTTTTTGTATGTTGTTAACAAGCATACTACAAATAAAGAAACCAAAAATGAACATTCAAGAGAAAAATATTTTCCCACCATTGTGGCATTTTCATAGCTTGTTCCATGACTCACCTGGTCATACCCATAAGGCCTCTGCTGGGGGGCCTGGGGTGGTCCAGGCTGTGTTGGTCTATATCCTCCATACTGCTGACCTTGTCCCTGTGGATAATTAGGATACTGAGGACCTGGACCACCCTGTGAAGGACCTGCAAAATAGTTAACACAAATAAAAGTCCAGGTAAAAATACAAGTCCCTCAAATATGAGAAAACGTTTAAAACTAGATGTCATTATATTTTTATACCTAAATTAAAAAGAACAGCTCAGCACCCTGATTCTCTCAAATGCTCAGTGAGATAGATTTCAATGTTTGGTGAAATAAATTTTCAGTGTTACACTATGAGTAACAATATTATAATGCTACTTCAATGTAATTATTGTACTATGTCCTTGTAATTCTAGATGTGTACATGAAAACAAATAAGAAAGATTAAAGGAACTATAAAGCAAGTTAACTCCAGGAAGGCAATAAAATTTACACACACACACACACACACACACACACACACACACATATACACAGCAAGAGGCAAAAAGAAAAAAGCAAGATACAGATTTAAAGAAAAATAACAAAATAATCTCTAAACAAAGTTTGGGAATAAATCATAACTGTAGGAATCTAGATTTACGTATGTAATCATCAAAAACATCATATGGTTATATACTCAGCATCAAAAAAATTATCACAGTTTAAATTAAAGACTTAAAAGTCACAACTGTATGTGAAAAACCTGATTCAAAAGGAACATTATGAGAACCAATCATGTTTAATAATCTGCCCATAAAAATGATTTCAAGCTCCAAAGGCAGCAAGGATTTGGCTTGCTAGACGGCAACGACTGTTATACAAGGTCTACTATTGCCTACTGTAAAGAACACTTTATAAAGCATAAGATGAAAGCTTTCTACCACATATATTCAAAACCTGCCATAAAAAGAATGACTTTAAAGAAAAGTGTCAAAGAGAACAATAAATTTTCAATCTTAAAAATCACCTATCATGTAATTATTATGTATCAATTACTACAAATTTTTTACTAGAGTAAAGTTGAAAACTAAAACAAAATGGGAATTTCTTCTATACTATACTGGAGGCTTAACAAAATAGCATTTAAGTACATAAACCAAAAAATAATTTAAAATTTGTTATTTCCTTTCCCCCTCAAAATTATGTTTAAGTCAATGTACTCACCTGATTTAATCACATATTTGTATTTACATGCAAATACAACAAAATCAGAATATTTTACTTATTCAAAATACACAAAGTAAATAGTCATGAAAGAGAACTAAATTAAGAAATCCACAGAATGTTTCTAATATCACAGGTAGAATCAAGAAACATTTTAAATAAACACTCATAATAAAGGTTAATACTGAGAATTTTCAAAAATGATTCTTAAAAAACAAATGTTAACTGTCTACTGCCGTATTTCAAAACACCACTCATCACCCTTTGTGGCGGACAGAAGTGCAACAAGCATTACCATAGCCCTGCTGCTGCCCGGGATAGCCCTGCTGTCCTGGGTATTGCTGCTGCTGGGGAGGATAGCCTTGCTGAGGCGGCGGTCCTTGGTAAGCATCTTGCTGTTGGCCATACTGTGCATTTCCTAGTGATAATTGGAGAAGAGGAATAGAACACTGAGGAGTTTACTTCATTAACTTTTTGCCCTCCAAGATGCATAGCCAACAACACAAGAACAAAATAAAATGCCATACTGATTTTTTAAAAATTAACAAAACAAAGAAAAACTCAAACCAAACAGAAGGATTTCGGCCAAACAAACTGCAGTTAAAGCCAATTTTGCAAGGTTGAACTGCAGCATTTTCAGCGTCTCTGCCATACGAGCATTACATTTACTGGAACATCACAGTCATAAGATCATGACTATGCTAAATAAAATAAAAAAGACAAAATTAAAGACAGCTACAAGAGCACACACTAGCTACACAAGATCAGCAAGCTGTTTCCTAAAGGCACTATATTTATATGTAAAATTTTACATATGTAAACACACATGAGGGAAAAAAATTGGATTGATGGGATTTATGTAAATAGAAAATTTCCACTGAGGAAAAAATTATTTATAAATGTTTTAGTCTTTTTATTGTTGTTAGAATGGCAAGTCATGGTTATACGTTTTAAATATTTGGAAGGTAAGGAAATTATTTTGTTTTGGGCTCCCTGTAACTTTCAAGACAGCCAGCGACTAGTATTCTACAAGAGCTTTGCATGGGCAGAAGTTGTCTTATGCAAGAATTTTCATTCCTGTAGAAGGGGATATATGTGTATGTGTGTGAAGGTATATAGATACCTCCTTCGTAGTAATGTTGTGAGGAATCCTCATAAGGCCTATCGTAGCCTTGTTCAGGATACGACGGTTGCTGATAACCGTAATCATTATGACCTACATCAATTCGACAAGAGACAGGAAGAAACGTTAATGGCCACTGAGTGAAAACCCTAAAAATATTTAAACTTTCAGATAAAATTGAAAAAAAGAAAAAGAAATGGAAATACATAAAAAATAATTTCAATTGCATTAGCCAAATATTTACCAATGTGATTGCTTTCATCTTGCAATAACGTGCAAATTTATTTAAAAGCAAAAAGCAGTAGTTTTAGAAACATTACACTTATCCTCCTAACTCTGATAATCCTCATAGAGGGAAAAAAACTTTTATCTTCCATTTAAAAAAATTGAAAGCATTTAGGCCTTTCACATGTAAATAACTTGAATTAAATTAAAATGAACAAAGAAAGCAATTATCATATTTTGTCAAACACCTGTTCTGTTGGTTTCCAATTCCACAGCATATGCTAAAAACAACGCATAATATAAAAGAAATTCATAACTTTTTTCCCCTGAAAGAAACCAAAACACATTTTTCATACTCTAACATGTGCTTGTGTACAGTACATGTACTAAAAGTATTTTAGATGCAAATATTTACTTATTCATGCTGTCATTTTAGAGTGCTCTAAAGTATAATAAATACATCTATACAAAATTAATACTGTATTGAGTCAGCATATATCTTTAAGACAAAAAAAATTTCACCTGCAAGGTAACTGGACTTTACTCATATCCTGAGTTTCACTAAAAAAATGTAGAAAATAAATTTTCAGATTATAAAACCTGAACTAAATTTTACAAGAACGTTTAATTAAGGATGAAGAAGTAAATTTTTAAATAAATATCACACTTAGCACCCTAGTAGGAATGCTCCCAAACCACATCTTAGCATCTACACCAAGAGTTGACAAACTATGGCCTACAGTCTGAATATGGCCAGTGGCCTGTTTCAGTAAACAGAGTTTTATTGGATACATTCCTGCTTGTTTAGTTAACTATCATCAACAGCTGCTTGCATGCTACAGTTAAAAGACTTCCACAGTTGAGAAAAAGACCATATGGCCTGCAAACACTTTACAGAAAAAGTTTGCCAACTCTTCATCTATGTGTTTACTGGCATAAATATCTAGATATAATAAAAAAAATAGCCAATGCTGTTCAAGAAAATAACTGTTGCTATGATTGGAACATGCTATGTACATATTAAGAAGCTATTTATACACATGGATGCAAAAATGGTAGCATTTAAGCAACAATAAATATTAAGGAATAACAAATTGTAACCTTAACCTGAGATTTATCAAATTGCTATATTGTGAAAAGGTTATATGTATAACAAGCCAAATTTCATATTTTAGTAAATATTTAAGAGTAGGAAAAACGTCATTTTCAATTCAAATACATAAAATACATTTTAAAAATTAAATAATTATACCCATCATTTATTTTCAGATTTCCTAATACATATAATTTAACAAAATATTGATACTCTTACAAAGTATCTTTACGTCTTTGAAGTACCTATACTCTAGTGTAAACTTTTATAAGCTTTTATAAAAGTTTTAAAAAACAATACCATGTCTATACATGAACCAGAAAATGAGAAATTAAAAAAATACAATGTTTTACCCAGAATTATCCAAATATGTCATCATTATCACCAATAAATAGTTACTGTATGCAAAACTTGAGTGGCATTTGTTCTGCCATAATCAGACCCTTTGCAGCAAAAATGCTACATCTCTAAGCACTGATACAACCTTATGCTTTACACACTGACAAAGGAAGACAGGTAAAATGACTTTTTCAGGTACATTATTATAAATTATACGTATGTTCTCACTGATTTACATTAGTTTCTAGTCAATGGTTCCCAATGCTTTAGCTTTAAGTTTTAGTTCTCTACATCATTTACATTAAATACACCAACAGAGCTTATTATATGTCAATCTTTTGGTAAATCCTTTCATAATGAAACAAACCATTTCGTATAATATAACCACTTATTAATTTATCAGTTTTATGTGTCTGCATTATTTTTTCTCCAATATTGTAAGATTTTCCATAAGAAAAACTGGAAGAACAGCACAGTGAAAACCTAATAGTAGTAGGCTCATACTACTTAGATTTTCTTATAGTGCAGTACTTCTTTACTCATCAATTTTTCACAATCCATCTTCCCACTTTAAAAGCACACTAAAATAAGTAACTACAAATCTAGTTTGTAAATGTCTTGCTTATTCTATTAAATCTATATACAGCTATATTATGCATATAATTTAGCTCTCCAAATTTTTTCTGAAATTTTTTCTGCAAACACTAATGTATATAAATCACAGTACTTTGAGAAATATGCAACATTAGCCAAAATGATGAAACTGGGAAAAATATCCCAGAATTATATTCTCTACGTATCAGTAGGTGAACCTTACAATATATCAACTATATCAAAAAAGTTATTTCTAAAAAAAGAGTAAGTCAGTAATACCTGCTTTGGTTCAAATGAACAGTCCCAAATATAAAAGGATACTCTTTCATGTAAGAAAGAATTCCAATGACAGAATGTGACTCGTGATGGTACTAATGGAATAGCTAACAAAATATATCTTGAATTAGATTAAAAACTAATGCTATTATTGGTATTTTAGATTACTGAAATGTTTCTAAAATCTGAACGAAAAAACTAATAGTCTCTTCCTCTTCATTGGAATGCTCCAAGTAGCTTTCTGTATTATTGGGCAGAGAAAGAAAACGGGAAGGTTAAGGTTAGGAGAGATTACCATCAGGGTAATATTGCTGGTTCATGCCTTCCGGAGGACCTTGTCCACCATGACTGTATTGGTCCCCATAATAGTCTTCCTGGCCTGAGTACTGCTGTGGTGGGCCTGAAAAACCACAACCAGTCAGGATGTAAATGATTTGTTCTCTATATCACCAGGGTTTTCTTTCTTATCTGGAGGTATGAGAGATTATTTCTCAGTTGTAGACTCCCCTCTAATATTCTGGCATAGCTGATACTTTTAATTATTCATATGCAATAGAGACACATATATACTGAAGTTCTACACATCACATTTACTAAAACTAATGTTTAAGTCCAGACATATAACATCAAACAATACACAAAAAGGCAAATATAACTTAAAAGGAGGTTGGGATCAAGGATTTAGCTCAGCAGCAGAAGCACCTGCCTGGCAAGTGCAAGGTTGTGAGTTCAACCCCTGGTATAAAAAAAAAAAAAAAGGAGGTACAACTTAATAGAAAAGTTTCTTTTTATTTTCACATTAGAGCACTTTGAAATAATTTTTTTTAATAATAACTTTATACCTGGCCATATATTTAGTAAAAAAAGTGTTTTCTGCTATAAGTTGGTGACTTTTTATATAAAATTTTATAATATAACCTTTGCCCAGAAAATGATAGATAAAAGAAACCCATATACTAGAAAACTTCCTATCCATTTCATGACCTTTTGTACCTACTCTAACCACTTCCTTTTGGTAGGAAAAAACATATATCAAGAAAGAAAAGGCTTGACTTTGCCTCCAGACAAAAAGCTCATTAAAATTTAAAACCTTTCAATTACTGTTATTTATATTAAGCAGGAAATTTCCCAAATGGAGCTTACCCTGCTGCGGTGGTCTGTAGGGAGGAATCTGTCTCTGACCCATCATATGATTGCCTTGGTTAACTTGACCCATCATTCCCATCGGGGGCTGCTGTCCTTGGTAGTGCTGCCCGCCGCCCTGTGGCATATTGTACTGCTGAGAAGGTGGCTGCTGATGCATCATTGGACCTAAAACAGATAAAACATGCACATCAGTTTGTGACATATATTTTTAACATCAAGAAAATTTTTAAAATCTACATAATGCACAAAATATATAATTAAACACATTGACTTCAAATAAAAACAAGTCTGATTTAAAGTTCAAATGTCTAAAATAATCCACAAACATGGGAAAACAACTATGACAGCTGATTTGAAATCCACTGGAAGAGTATTTTAGTCCATTTCTAAAGCCCAAAATGGAAGTTGGATCTGCTGTTGAGGCCTACAGTCCCAGCTGTTATGGCTTGGGTCTAATCTCCCCTCAAAGCCTCATGCAGTATAGAGTGGAGGATATTCCAGAAGTGGCTAGTGGCTAGCATGTGTGAAATGGGATTGATCATGGTGCTGGGATTAAGGGCACCAGGACCAAGGGTGTGGGTGCTATCTTCCCTAACAGCAGGTAGCCTGGATTAGCCATAAGGGACAGAACAAGGCCTGTTGCTGGAACCTGGCTTGTTTGTGCTCTGTCCACCATGAACTGTTTCTCCTCTGCAATGCCCATCTACCAAGCCGCCCTGCCTTGAAGCCAGCCACTTACTGACTGAAACTTCTAAAAGCTGCAAGCTAAATAAACCTTTCTGCCTTTAACTTTAGGTGTTGGCTATTTTGTCTCAGCAACAAGAAAACTAATTAAGACATCAGCCCTCTGGGAGGCTGAAGATGGAGGATTCCAATCCCAATCCCAAGCCTGGGCAATTTAGCAATTTAGGGAGACCCTGCTTCAAAATCTTTAGAAATTTAAAAAGAATTGGGGATGTCACTCAATGAAAAGGCCATAGGTTCAATCCCCAGTACCACACATGTGTGCATACACATCCATACATACAGAAAAAAAAGACATATTAATACTCTACATCTATTTTCCATTTTACATATTTGACTAACACAATCTTTCTAGGAAAAAAAGCAATCTTGCTGCTGCCTCCGGAAAGACATTATAAATAAACTTTACAAAAATGACACAACAAATCAGTAGGGAAACCAAATTTCTGAATTTTCATTTCATATTTTTCAAGAGCCACTTAATAACAATAGGCACAGAAACTACGCAAACATTTACAAGTAGCATATGAGTACAATTTCATAAACTTTAATTTTAAGACAAAAATTTAAAAGGGTCTTTTTTCCCTTTCCAGATTTGGTATGAGCTTGATAAACTAAAAAGTTGTGTTGAAATGAAAAAGTCATAATTCTAATAAGTCATCAAAACACACACACAGGTGTACATGTGCATACATGTACAGGCAGGCACACACACACACACACACACACACACACACACACACTCATTCCAAAAACACCTAGGTAGAAAAGTGCAAGAAGTTATAGGTTCAGAAATTAGAACTATGCAAATTTCCAGAGTGAATGATAGCAGAGTAGCCAGCTACCGCTATGAAATCACCCTACAGTAAAAACCACATAAAATAATCCACAATGGCTCCTAGGTCTCATGTTGCCATCTACCAATAAAAAATTCCTTACAAGTTTATTGGGCCAAGCTATGGTACAGAGAGCTTATCATTCTGCCATTGTAACCATTTCTGTCTCAGAAGTAAACCTGAATCATCTCCCGGCACACTGCTTACATAGCTACATAATCCTACCTTTACCGACCTGGGGACAATTTAAGAAGAAACTGCAAAGATTTGAGAACTTGGAAAACTTTTACAAGCAAAAATTTCCCAGGTAAGCCAAAAGCTCACTGTTTATTTTAATAAACAACTAAAAATAAACAAGCAAGTCCACCTCTACTGACCTACAACAACAGTGCAAGCAGAAAGATTTCACTCTTCCTTTCCCGTGTGAATCATTTTATCTAAAGGAATACGTTGTCAAAGCCAACTTATTCCTCCTACTCACTTTCTTCTGTTCATCTACTTCTTTTCAAATTCTCCTTTTCCTTCTAATTTTCAATGGTTACTCTGAGACCCTTCTTTAACGAGGACATGCATTAACAGCAGGGACAAGGGCTCTCCAAGGGGACAGGATGAGAATCTAACATGGAGAGCAGTTCACCAAAACACTGTTTGAGTGAGCTGCTTTCACATTTACTTTCTGTAACACCTTGACAATCACTGAAGAAATGGATCCCAATTTCCAAGTGTTCTGTCAAGGAACCCAAAGGCCAAAGTCATACAGCCATTAGATATCAGCTGGGAATAAGACAAGGCTCATTTGATGTCAAAGTACATGCTTGTGTCTCACTATTTTCACTGACTCTACTCAAGTTCATAGTGCAGAAGCACAAGTGAGAAAAGGAAAAAATGGAGAGAAAGTCTTATAAATAAAGAGAAGAGGGGTTGAAGGGAAGAGAAAGGAAGGGAACAGGAAAAAAAAGAAGAATCAAGATATATCATGTAGATAGCCAGGGATATAGCTCATTCTCAGCAGCACAGTGTCTGCCTGGCAAGCTTGAGGTCCTGAGTTACATTCCTAGGACCAAACATAATAAATAAATGAATGAATGAATAAATTTAAAAAAGATATATCTTATACAAGTACAAATTCCTATGATGAATGTGATCACTATATATATCTAAACGATACCAATAAACTTAATAATATAATTTTTAAATCTCATAATGATATATAATTCAATGTGGAAAATTTTTGTGCATTGATGAGCTTTTAAAACACAGATAAAGTTCTAAAACACTAAGGAGTTTGAGGTTACACTTTGCATGCTTTGTATACAACAAAGAAATGAACATTGACATTCCTAATTTGATAGGCAACCTGACTGAGCATTTATCTAAGTGAAGGTTTTGTCATCTCTAACAATGTATAAAAACCTCTAGCCTTAACTGCAGTAACAGTAAAACTAACACATACTCTATATTCTGGAACCAAAAAAGAAAGCAAAACCACAACAGCCAGGAGGAAAGGTCCAAAAAGATATATAATAACAAAATTTTAAGCTTTGCTCTAAAAGGAAAAAATAATTCCAGCTTAAGCCCTAGACAGAAAAGACCATGTCACTTGTGCTTTATCTTCTGGGACGGTCAGCAGTTCCACTCCCAAAGAGCTCAATTACCACCCTTCTTTTATTCTCTGTCACTTCCTTCCCTCTGAGGACCCCAATATCATTCAGGATCAAGCCTAAGACCACAGAGAGAATGGAACAGGCAGGCATTACTAAAACAAGGTACTTTCCATTGTTTCCTGGAAGCTTTATTCATTACAGATAAAAATTACGGCTTTATGATTTTGATTCTGATTGTTTAGAAAGCATGTATTTTTCTTAGGATAAAGAAGTGTGCTACACTGGCAATGTATGAGTATTACCTCCTGAGACATACTAATGGAAATAACAAATTTGAATCTCAAAAGGCGGGCCCAAAATAAGTTCCAAAAATTTGTACTACAGTAAAATAAGATTATAAAATGAGTATATTATAAATAATAATTTTTTGCAGACAATAGTATCATATACTACACATGCTTAAGGGATATTACTCAGTTTTTATATAAACCATGTTATAATACATACACAAAGATTCCACTAATATCTTACTTACAATATATTTTTTCTAGGACATAAAACAATACTATAGCATTTCTTCTCATGTTAAGTTCTATAGTCTACTACTAGATATTCTATATAATCAATGTCCTAAACCTTAAACACATGTAAGACATTTACAAATTACTGGGCTGTACTTTTTACTACTGGAAGTTTTTTTAACTTAAATTAGTAGCTAAACAGAAACATTTAAGGATCAAACTGAACTACTTATATATCAGACATAGGAAGGCCAGGAGACGTGATGAGAGAAAAAATGTGAGGAGGATTGTCACCATTTCTATAACTTAAAATTAAGCAGGCAGAGTTTGTACAGACGTTAAGTTTTAATTGATCTGTCAAGAATTTTGAATGATGTAGTTCTTAAGTGTTCCATAGTCACACACATATGTACATATTCACATCTTCAAAGCAAATTAATAAACTACAACTCTGTCAGTAGTGTAACATCTAAGAATTATTTTAAAGATACGGGTTTAAATGGTAGCTAATACTTACTGATCATTTATCAGTAAGCTAACAACTTTATATGTATTATTTGTCTTCCCCAAAACCTCATGAAACAGGCAGTATTATCAACTTCATTTTATAGATAAGAAAGGTTAATCCTACAAATATTAAGACTGTTACTCAAAGTTACACAGCTACTAAATGGCGAGAACTCTAAATCCCACACTCTTAACCTCTATGTACACTTCCTTTCCAAAGTCAAAGCATATTATCAAATGTCATTATTTCTCAAGAAAGCAGTTTTAAACAACTTACTTCCAGTATAACATAAAAATCCTAGTAAGATACATGAAGTCTTAAACCTACACGTGTCTATGTTGTAATAAATATTAGATCTTACTTCCCACACTTCACTTCTTACTCTGTAACTGTTCAATCTCAAATCATTTATAGAGCTCATTTGAAGGTCATACTAATAATCTATTTGCAAGAGAAAAATACCTATACTCCAGCAAATTTACTATTTAAACCTACTCTCTATTTAAAGTCATTTAAAACGAAAAAGATTGTTTACACAATTAAATTGTACATCTGTCCACATCATGAATCTTAAGGAGACCAATGAAGATGTTTGAATGTAACGACAAAGATAAAAGAACAAGTACCAGGTATATAAGAAAATGCACGATTATCTCAGAAGATTGGTAAATTCACTGCCACTAAATAAGCACAGACTTAGCTGAGTACCAAAGTAACCAATGAAAATAAAATGATATTAGCTACTGAAAACAGCAGCTCATGAAGAGATACAAACCTTTCAGTAACATGAAATTTTTAGAGAGTTCTCATACAGTATTAAAAAGCATTAAAACAACAGTACCATGCGTTTTGTTATTGTAATTTGTTTCTTTAATGATGCAGACCATTTTTATATGCAGATATTCATAGTGGCCATTTCTTAAACTTGTAATCCTCAACCACGGGTAACTTT